TTAGTCTGCATATGTTTGCATATTTTCTGGAGTTTCTTAAGTTGTTAATTTCCAGCTTCATTCTATTTTGGTCAGAAAAAATACATGATATGATTTCATTTTTTTTATTTTGTTGAAAATTGGTTTATGTCCTAATATATGGTCTATCCTAGAGAAAGTTTCTTGCACTGATGAAAAAAAAGTGTGTTCTGCAACTTTAGATGAAATGTTCTGTAAATATCAGTAAGGTACATTTGGTCAATAGTATAGATTATCTCTGTTGTTTCTTTGTTGATTTTCTGTCTATCTGATCTGTCCATTGATGAAAGTGTGGTGTTTATGTCCCCCATTATTATTGTATTGGAGTTTGTGTCTCCCTTTAGATCCATTATCATTTGTTTTAAATAGCCAGTAACTCTCCCATTGGGTGCATATGCATTTACTATGGTCACATCTTCCAGTTGAATTGATCTCTTAATCATTACATAATGCCCTTCTTAGTCTTTGAACAATTTTGTGTTAAAATTATTTTATCTGATATTAGTATGGCTTCATTTGCTCATTTTTGCTTTCCATTAGCCTGGAATATCTATTTCATTCTTTCACTTTCAGTATGTATGTGCCTTCATTGCTGAGGTGTGTTTCTCATCTGCATCAAATAGATGTGTCTTGTTTTTTATTCCATTTAGCCAGTATATACCTTCTAATTTGAGAATTTGGGCCATTTACATTCAAAGTTATTATTGATAAGTAGCAATTTGGTCCTACCATTTTTCCATAAATATTGTATGCTTTGGACTTCCTTTGACTTTTAATAGTAAATTTTCTGCCTTTACATTCTTTCGTAACTATGACTATCATTTTCTGTATAGTACATCCAAACAATCATTTGTAAGGATGGATAAGTAGTAGCAAATTTCTTTGATTTCTGTTTGTTTTGGGAGGTCTTTATTTCACCCTCATTTATAAATAAGAGCTTTGCTGTTACACTATTCTGGATTGACAGTTTTGTTTTTTTGTTTGTTTGTTTGTTTTTTTTTTTTTGACAGGCAGTGGACAGTGAGAGAGAGAGAGACAGAGAGAAAGGTCTTCCTTTTCTGTTGGTTCACCCCCCAATGGCCGCTGCAGCCAGCCGACGTGCTGTGCCAGTCTGAAGCCAGGAGCCAGGTGCTTCTCCTGGTCACCCGCATGAACCCCCGGGGTGCTGGCGCTGCAGGCGCCGCAGGCGGAGGATTAGTGTATTGAGCCGCTGCGCCGGCCGACAGTCTTTGTTTTAGGACTTGGACTAAGTCTCTGAATTCTCTTCTAGCCTGCAGAGTTTCCAACAAAAAATCAGCTGTTAGTCTAATCGGGGGTCCTCTGAAAGTCATCTTGTCTTCCTTGCTCTTGTTTGTTGTATTTCTGTGTTTACTTTTAGGCATTTGTGGAAACACTTGGTTTTCTCCTCTGATGGCTTCTTTCTTTGAAATGTGCCTCTGTGGCTTAGTCCTTGTGGCTTAGTGGAATGTCTTGTCCTTCAGTGGATATCCATAGGTGTGTGCTCACTTCACCCCCCAGCCAGGGGAGTCACAGGTGGTGTCTCAAGCTGCTGCCGTATGTTTGTATTGTCCATACTGCTCCATGGCATCTCTCTTTCAGTAGAATTTCCACTGCCAACTTCTTTCCTAATCTCCCCTGAAAAAAAAAAAAAACACATCTTTCCCCTATTTAGCTATCTTGGAACTTGTTCTAAAAGTAGAAACATGCAAGAATAAAACATTTTGACTGTTGTATTCAAAAAACAAAATAATCATTACATCTGGGTTCATTTAACCATTCCTTAGATTCTGAAAGGCCACATTTAGAAACTTATTTTTGTTCACCAGTGTGTGATAGCTCTGCCTTACATTCTCCATGAATTATTAAATATAATGGTCTCTTGAGAGTTAAATTTAATTGTCTTTCTCATATTATTATCCTGTTAAGTATATCGGCTTCATCAAAAATAATTTTTGAAACTTTTCTTCATTCCTATCATTACAATTAACAACCACAGCCACCACTCCCAAATCAGCTATACATCTACCTCTGGTCACAGGAGCTATAAATACAGGTACAGAACTTTAGTTTCTATTTGATTGCTAAATCACTGGTTCCTCACTTTCTTTTCTTGGCATTTCTTTCACCACTATTATTGCCATTGTTCAAAACTCACCACCACCTGGCAATATTAGCAAGCAGGGGAGGGTGTCTATCCTTCATGACTGTCAATATGTTTCAAAACCATTCATTGTGGATTTACAAAGTGAAAAGAAATTAATTCTTACCCTAACAGATGCATTGAATACTTATTCTTGATCACAGCATAATGTAGTGGCTAAAAGTCTCAAGTACAGGTGCGCCTGAGTTCAAACCTGGCTTTATTACTTTTTAGCAATGTGACCTTGGACAAGTTGCTTAATCTCCCTAACCCTCAACTTCCTCATCTTTAAATGGGTTCATTAATACTCTGTCTCACAGTGTTGTAAGGAGCTGTAAGTTAACACATTGAAGTGATTTCAAATACTGTGAAAAAATAGCATTGAATACTGCCTGTCATATGGCAAATGCTCAATAAATATTAGTAGCTATCTTGATCAACACCATCATTGTGATCCTTTGCATACAAACTGAAGATTTACTATCAAAAGTTATTGGAGACAGTCTCCAGATGTAGAAACCTTCTTGAATTTTGTCTTGGGATCATTTCATTCAATACTACCCGTCTCTTCCATTTTCCTAGCTTCCAATACTCGAGTATTTTTTTTTTTCATGAATTTCCTTCATCCTACTATGTGGTAACCTGATTGAGACAAGTAGATCAACTCATCCCCCAAATTTGATTCAGATGTCAGAACTGGTGATGCCACACTCATAATAAGGAATATATTACTCACAGAGTGAAGCTTTCTAGAGAGATCAGCACAACCTGCCAAGCAAGACGGAAGATAGATTTAGAAATCAGAGTGGGGGGCCTGGCTTTGGAGTCTTATGGTGATTAGGTCATACATTTAGGGGAAAAGTCCCCTTATGAAGGGCAAGACTTGAATGGTTTGAACTTTTCACAAGTACCAAGGAGTGTACTCTCGGGTATTTTATCAGCTTGAGCAGAAGTGGATGGGGAAGCAGAAGTTGGCGAAACATCAAAACTAGAGACAGATTCTTGGTTACGCTACCAAAAATGAGGATTCTGCCCCTTTTCAAGGCAGTATTTCCTTCCCTGGTAGGTAAAGGGACTCTTGGTCTGAAGCTTCAATCACAACACCACTTCTACTCTTCCCCTCCCGAGAAGACCACAAGGCAGAGCAACGTTTCTCCTTTCTGGTTCCCTCCTCGCCCTCCCCCCAGAAAAGATAATTATTCTTCATCAAATCATGAGTAAATAAAGTAAGCAGTTACCTAAACTTATTTCCAGACTTAATAATTAACAGAAAGCTATATATATAATAGTAGTGTCTTTCTTTATGAATACCTTTCCTAGGTTTTCCTTATTTATTTTAACCTCATAATAATTAGATAAAGCCATAAGATCAGATATATTGTTATCAGACTCTAGTGATAATCAGAACTCCAACTACACTCAATAATAAAGTGGAACTTAGACATGCTTAAGGCAGAACAATGAGTAGCTTTAAAAATAATGGCTATTTTACATTTAGAATGAATATACTATGTGGTATATCTTTTATTATCCCTGGTAATGAGGTTGGTATTTCTGAAGCATATATCAACCAACAGTGAGGGAGAACCTCAGAACCAGGTAAGAAGTGAAGAATGATGAGCCCTCTATAGATAATAGGATATCGGGAGTAGAGTCCAGCAGTTCAGTGTGGGGACAGTGAGGTGTATGTCACAGGTCAAATGCTAAAATATTTACCTGAGGGTCCAATGGGTTTTCCAGCTTGGATTTCCTAAGAATTACTACCAGGATTAGTAAAAAGTTCTTTCACTTTGGAATATTTTTGTTTTATAGTTTTTTGTTTTATAGTTCTTAAGCTATCATCCCTGTGTTTTGAATTATTTTGTCTTACGTAACCTGCACTTATCATATAAAAATTAACGTTATCACTTATCCACAAAAAATGTAGTTTCGTATTTGTCCATTTGATCAATATTAGTTTGGTAAAATTTAAGATTGGCATTGCAGTTATTGTTACATAGAGCAAAGTAATATAAATTAGAAATTGTTTTGAGAAAGAAAACTGAAAAACAAGGCTAATGTACTTTATGTAACCTTGTATGTGGTAATCACAGAATGGCATTCAGAGAAGTCCTATAGATGATTCTAAATCTTGGCTTTAAGCTTCCTTTAAAGGCAGTCAATGTGGAAAGAGAAATCGGAACAAGACATGTTTGTGGGTGTGACCACCATTGGGGCTTTTGATCAGCATGAATAATCAATATTAAAAGCATGGGTCTATATAATTCCAACAAGATACAAAGAAGCATCATCATTTGGTTATGTTTTTATAGATTTTTCATAGACAAACTATGATATCCAAGATATTTTAAAATAAAAAATATTTATGAGCGCCCTTTCAGCTCTCCTGAATCCTTCACTGTCTAGACCCCTGGATGGAATCCTATAACCTAGTACTTCATGTGAATCTTTTCTTTCAGAGGAAATGTTTCTCTCCATTTTTAGAGCTAATAAAAGGTTTATTGACAGTTGCATGCAGTTATCAGCCATGTATTGAAGAGTTTGTCTCTTGCAGAAATACTGCAATATATTGTGGAGAAAGGTCTAAAAGCAACTGTCTGAACTGCAGCTATGGAAGTTCAGGGGGACTTTGAGTCAAATCATTAAGCAGATTGCAGTGCAGGTAGTTGAACAGATATTGATCGAGTGACAACCCCAGGGGCCAGCTAGCAATGGATAAACAGACGTGTGTATGTCAAGTTCTGTGTCCCCTAAGAGTTAGGAGTCCAGGAAGGAGGTCATTTCAAGTGTGGGGGAAAAGTGTGAGGAAATCTGTTCTAATGAATACTCTGCTTTTCCCCAGGTTGGTACTATCGGCTTTTCATCAACTTCGTGCTCAGGAGACATATCTTCTTCTTCGTACTGCAAACCTATTTCCCAGCCATGCTGATGGTGATGCTTTCGTGGGTTTCATTTTGGATTGACCGAAGAGCTGTTCCTGCAAGAGTTTCCCTGGGTAAATCTTAACACACCTTGGCAAAACGTTCATGTGGGAGAAAGTTCAAGGGAGGTAAATAAGGTGATGGTGATACTTGGGGAGAGAAAGAGAGTGGTGAGTTAGTAGGGATAGTGAGCTGTGCTTTCAGGTTAAAGTTTTCTCTTGGCACTTTCAGAGGCAAATTATAATTGGGCTCTTTCCTCGGAACCGCAGACTTTAGGGATGAAGACTGTGCTGACCAACCTGGTAGGAAGGATGATAAGTAAGGAAAGGGTGACATTATGAAGCACAAACACCTCAGTTTAAAAAGTTACCTCTTTTCCCTTTCCAGGAAACTCACCCCCCACTCACTGCCCAAATACCCAGGTCCATTTTGCTTTTCATGACATACCCTTACATCACAGAAGGAAGAACTCCAAACTAATTCACATTATATTGCTGGTAAATTGCCTTGGGGTGGAGCAGAAGTGAGGGTGAGGGGATGTTATATGAATTCAGAAACATGAGTGCTGATTGATTATAAATATAGGGCACAAAGCCCAAAAGCAGAATCAGCCACAGCGAAAGTTTAGGTTCTGCAGCACTTTGGTTGGCAGGAGTTTTCAGGGGGAGAGACATTGCTGGCCTCATTAAGTCACCACACAGGGGTGATTATCTACTCCATCTAGCCTGCTATATGCCACTGTCACACACTCTGATTTACAGGAACTATTTCAGACCCACTTAGCACTTATTGAGTCCTCACAGAGTGGAAGGTGCCAAGCTAAGCACTTAGATGACACATTCCTTAATGAGAACCTGAGAGCTGATCCCACTTGCCTTCTTGGCTGCTTCAGGGCAGAGCTCCCTCATTTCATCTGGTTTTGTTCTTTCACCTGTAATGCTCTGTCTAAAGAGAAGATTGTTATAAGTAGTTCACAATCATTGTAATTATCACACAATTCACTCCAAAAGGGTGGTTTCTAAATTAATGTTCACAAATTATGTGCATACTTCAAAAGATCGTTCAAAAGGCAGAAATTATTAATATTAATAATTTGTTCACTTCTTTCCCCTGTTAAAAGTTTCTGTCTGCAAGCATTTGAAGTTGGAATATCTTCAAGGAAAAAAGTACCACCTGAATGAATAATTAAATTATTTTGATTGTTTCTTTTTGAGCATTTGTGCCCTGACCTCACTACTGCAATGGGCAGCATAGACTGAAAGAGCAGACTGAAGGCACACTTACAGCCCCTGAGACCAGCTGAGAAAGACAATCGGTGTTTAAAAGTTGATGAGCATGATTTTTTGGTCAAACTCTTGAAGCTGTCTGCCCTGTTCTTGTGTTGTGAGGATGACAGCAGTAAGAGCTAGTCCCATGACAGTCTTCAGGAAATGGAGAATACTGAAACACTGCCTGTGTCACTCCCCCTGAAATTCTGTGCTGCTTTTATCCACATGGAGCCCCTAGGAGAAATTGCTATGAAGATATAAGTAAAATGTATGCAGATCAGAAGTATCCATCACCCTCTTTTCTTCCTTAAGTAAATAGAGCTGCAGTATTCTCACAACACTACCATACTCCCAGATCTTGGCTTCTTACCACCCTCAAGTCTTTTTCCAAGACACTTTGCTCTCTGTTTTACTCACTCCAGTGCTATGCTACGGGAGCTTCTGGAAGGTCCCTCAGGCAATCTTATTGCCTATCCCCCTTGCTTTTGCTCAGTGTTCCTGCACTACTTTCTCCCAGGCATTTGCCATTATTAGGCATCCTCTCCAAATCTGGGGCCAAGTGGAATGGTCAAGAGGCCAGCCTCATTTTCCTTACTAGCAAAAGAAAATCACTAATATCATACTACTGTCTAAAGGTCACTGTAAGAATTAAATGGGAGAATTCATGTAAACTGTCTATCTTGATGCCAAGACCACGGTGTTTGATATAACCAACCATGCAGGGACAGTAGGCTAAGCTACCACTTGGGACATTGGCATTCCATTTTGGAGAACTACTCTGCACTTCCCAACCAATCTTATTAATGTTTCTGTGAGGCAGCAGATAATGGTGCAAGTACTTGGGTTCCTGCCACCCTTATAGAAGACCCAGATGGAACTCGGTGTTGGTCTGCACCAGCCCTGGCTGTTGTAGGCAATTGGAGAGTTTACCAGCAGATGGAAGATCTCTCTCTCTCTCTCTCTCTCTCTCTCTCAACACTCTGCCTTTCAAACAAATATTTTTAGAAACCTTTTATTTAATGAGTACAAATTTCATAAGTACAACTTTAGAAATATAGAGATTCTTCCCACAATACCACCCTCCCACCACCACCACTGCCACCCCACCTCCTCCATCTCCCATTCTCAGTCCCATTCTCCATTAAAATTTGTTTTCAATTAACTTTATACACAGAAGACCAACTCTATACTAAGTAAAGATTTCAACAATTTGCACACATTCACACAAAATATAAAAACTGTTTGAGAACAAGTTTTACTATCAACTCTCATAATACAACTCATTGAGGACAAAGATCCTGCATGGGAAGTTAAGTGCACAGTGACTCCCATTGTTAACTTAACAATTAGCACTCTTATGTTTGATATCAGTGATCACCCGAGGATCTTCACATGAACTGCCAAGGCTATGGAAACTTGTTGAATCCACAATCTCTGTCAATGTTTAGACAAGGCCATAAGCAAAATGGAAGTTGTCTCCTCCTTTCAGAGAAAAACACATCCTTCTTTGATGGCCCCTTCTTTCCATTACTCTGAAGTGTGGTTCTCATTTCCGGGTGGGGGGTGTGGCGAGAGGCCCCCCCACAATTGATGGGAGTGTGCATGGGGTGCAAAGGCAGCAGTCCCCTGCTTATGTTCAAAAATGTAAACAAACAAAATGATTTCTCCCAGCCGGCTGCAGGTCTGGTTAGGGGGAGGGAGGGGATGTGGATGGGCAGAGGGGTGCTTGACCTCTCTGTTGGAATATATTCCAACCTCTATACCTTCTCATACCTTCTCTTTTTTTCCTGAGTGGAACTTCAAATGCAGTTTACCAAGCTCCTCTTCCCACTGCTGTCTGCAGCTCAGTGGACCTGCGATTTCCTATCTAACATATTCTGCTGGGGGCTGGCACCAGCCTCCCTATTTTGTGGCTCTGCCTCTTCCTTTTCTTATTTGCTTCTTCAGCATGGACCTGCCAAGTCTCTGGGCTTCTGGTCATGAATTTCCCACGGCTCTATCTCCAGCATGTATCCTCTCTCCTTTTTAACTATTTTTTGGATCTTCCTATTGCTATACCACCATCTTGGGACCCCTCACCATAAATAATTTTTATTGCTTTATAACCACCCATGCAAGTAATACACAAATTCTCTTTACTCTTAACTAGCCTAGTTTTTCTCCTTCATTAAGCTTTCCTTTCTCTTCCCTGCTCTTTACTTCTTCCTTCCACTCCTTAAATGTGGTTTATTCTTTCTCAAGGATTTGCTCACTTTCGATTTTCTTATCAAATGCAACAAGACTATATTCCAAGTACTCACCCTATGGAAGTAAACCCCAAATCTGTATCTTTATCACAAACTTTATTATTGACCAACACTGTAGTCATTTTACTTGAACTTTTAGGCTAACTTTTCTGCTTTGAGAAAACATCCAATACTCAGATCTGATCAGCTGTAATATGTTTTGAGTTGTTCTTAAAAAAAACTATTAATTTTCATTTGATTTGCAAGATAGAGAGAAAGATCTTCCATCCACTGGTTTGCTGCCCAAATGCCTGCAGCTGGGACTTAGCCAAGCAGAAGTCAGGAGCTGGGGACTCAATCTGGGTTTCCCACATGGGTGACAGGGGCAGAAGTACTTGAGTCATTAACTTTTGCTTGCTCTCAATACTCTCAGCTTGGAATCCAGGGGTCCCCTGAGGATTGCCAGATGAACTATAGGATCCTCTGTTAAATTGAAGTTTAGATAAGTACTAAATAATGTTTTGATATAAATATATTCCAAATATTACATGGACATAGTCATACTAACAGAGTATTCATTGTTCATATAAAAATTGGATATCCTGCATTTTTACTTGCTAAATATGAAACCCTGTCCCTGTCCATATATATTTACACTAAGCTTTAGCCAGTTTGGATATTGATTAATCTCAGAAAGGTCCCCATGCTTAACTACTTATCTGGCCTCTGTATGTTTGTCTTGGCTCTCACTTGGCCTAGAATACCCACCCTACTTGTCTTTGTCAACATCCTACTATCTCTCCATGACTACAGCCATCAGGGAGAGCTCCAAGCACACATGAACACTCCCAACTTTGAACCACTTTGTATGTCTAAGATATCTTATTTCTTTTATTTTGTAGTTGGCTATAGAGCAAGGGTAGCCTATGTTGGCAGCTCCTGAGAAACAAAGATCATTATTGCCATCCTTTTTATCCTCATTGTTCCTGAAGTGACTGGCATGGTGCCCTACACATCTTTCATGCTCCATGCATTGGCGCTACATTGCCAGTGTTTTAGCCCACCACATTTTCAATAACTGTTTTCAGTTACTAACTGGAAACAATAAAGGATGATTCATTTAGCTGGTAAGATACTCTCACATCTGTCATATTTCAGGTAAAGAACAATAGAGGCTGAATAGCATAGAATTGTTCATTGTAATGAGGCAATTCTCATAGGAGATAATAACTATCATGATTTGGAATATAAATGCAATGGGTCAAAAATATTACTTCTTTCCATTTGATTTAGTGAGGACAGAGCATGAGACAACTACAAAATTTTTAAAGGATGCCCTCTCATTTCTATTTCCCTCTCTTTTCCCAGCATCCACCATTCTTGTCTGGGCATTATGCATGGGTGTGCCATTCCCTGTACATTGTACTAATTAATGAAGTCACTTACTAGAAAACAGATGTGACAGAGGAAAGCAATCAATTTTCAAACATGTAGTGTCTCATAGAGAAAAATGTCTCCTAACAGAGGATATGCCTGGAAAAGTGACTACTTAGGGAACTGAAGAGTAATTCATTTAACCATCACAGAGCTTATCAGAACTTCTAATCATAGTGGATGCTGGCACCACCTTTGTGGGAAAATTGCTAATAGTTTCTGTCCATAGTGCAATGTTGAAGTACCCAGCCCATCTTCTTTTCTCTTGTGTCTCTTAATATATTTTTCTGCCCAGGCATACAGGGAAAATATTTTGATTCCTTTGATGGCAAATTTAGATAACCCTTCCTTTCAAAAGAACTTCCTATGCTACAACTACTAAGAGGGTGAACAGGTTCATAATAAGTGTTGCTTGTCTGCCCTAGTGCTATCAAACAGGCTAACAAAACTCTCTAAGAAGTATAGCCAAAAATGGCCAATGAAAGGAGGGCATTGTGGTGCAGAGGGTTAAGCTGCAGCCTGGGACCTCATATCCCATATTGGAGTACCAGTTTGTGTCCCAGCTACTCTGCTTTTGATTCAGCTTCCCACTAATGCATATCCTGGGAGGCAGCAGGTAAAGGTCCTCATGAGCCAAGTACTTGGGTCCCTGTCACCCGTGCAAAAGAACCAGATGGGGTTCAGGGCTCCTGGTTTCCGTCTATCTGAACCCCAGCTGTTGTGGACATTTGGGGAGTGAACCAGCAGATGGAATATCTCACTCTTCTCTCTGTCTTTCAAATAGATAAATCTTTCTTTAATTAAAAAAAATCTTAAATGGCCGTTGGAACACAGATGACTAATTCTCCCCAGACTGTCCTTAACTGACCCCATGTGTGTCCTTAAAATCTAATATGGTGAAGTTGCAAGGGCTCAGGGGAGTTGAGTCAAATGGACCAGTCTGAATATTTTCTCATAACAGTTTCCTAACTATGCATAGCAATATCAATAGGTGGGAAGATAATTTTCTAATCCCAACACATGCCCTCTCTTTGATTAAATGGTCACTTCATATAATTCAAAAACCATTTATTGGGATGTTAACTTTAATGGGTTTGGAAGGAGTGCTATTTGTCAAGATTAATGTATTTCCGAGGGGTGGCTCAAGACATAATAAATGTGTTTAATGAAGCTGTAATACTCCTGACTTCAAGTCCCCTTGCCTCAGGAATTTATATATCAGTTTTCTCATCATTCACTCCCTACCACTCAACAATCCCTCTGGACTCCCCTCTAATTCTTTTTTATTATTATTATCATTGTTCGTCTTAAACAAGGGAAATCTAGAATACTGGTTTTAAAATAAATAAAGCTCCAGTAAATTAGTTGGACTAAGTGCCATTTTAAAGAAAATGACTGATCATTGCTGTCTGGTAGATATAGATAATGCAATTCCTTTTTATTAGCCCGATAGCCATCAATTTCAAATACATGATGAGACCTGTCTGGCAAGCACACTTGAGTGTTTGTTTTAAACCCTTACTTTGTTCACTAAGCCCATGTTACTGTCTACTGAAACAAATATCAAGTTCTACTTTCCATATCTTGGACAGCCAGTAAGAGAAGATATTTTTAAATTTTTGAATTAATGATGTGAGCTACTAAGTAGGAGTACTGCCTCAGGATTTCTTCCATTTACATGAGTGAAATCTTGAAGGGAATAGACTTTTGGCCTATTGAAAATCACTAAATACCTTCCTTATGCTTCTTGACATGATTCCACATCAATATATATAGCATCTCATCTCAGATATCATCTATATAGAAAAATTAGTTTAGCATCTTTACAACAAAAGGAAATTCCTTTTACAGGTCCAGAATGAGAAGTGGCAGGTTTTCCAGTAAAAATCCCAGGTTCTGCACTCAGAAGGAAAGGGTTGAATCCTGCCCCTGACAAAATTTGGGCTAATTACTTAGCAACTCTTAACTCATATTTCTTTTCTGCAATGTGTGGATCATAGTATTTATAGGTAAATATTTGTGGAGGATAAATACTTGCTAAAAGCAAGCAAGTTTTTTATTTAATAATCTTGATTTCATTGTCCATGTAATGTTAATGAAAACTCCATATCTCTATGTAGCAAGTACATTTTAAAGATGTATTTTTATTTATTTGAGAGGCAGAGTTACAGAGAGGGAGAAACGGAGAGAGAGGTTTTGCGTCTGCTGGTTCATTCCCCAAATGGCTACAATAGCTGGAGCTAGGCTGATCCAAAGGCAGGAGCCAGGAGACTCTTCCTGATCTCCCAAGTGGATGCAGGGATCCAAGTACTTGGGCCATCTTCCGCTGCTTTCCCAGGCCATTAGCAGGGAGATAGACCAGAAGTGGAGCAGCCAGGACTCAAACTGGCACCCATATGGAATGCTGGTGCTTCAGGCAGAGACTTAACCTGCTGTTCCACAGTGCCAGCCCCAGCAAGTACATTTTAGAGCCAGGAGATGAAAATGGCACCCACTGATCTGATGTTTCATCCTTGTGGGTGGAAAACCTGAAATTCAATCGGGCATATTAAGAGCTAGAACAGAAGTTTTGTTTCTTATTCTAGAGTTCAAATCAGTGGCAAGGTGAGATGCCAGGTCCTTCCAAGGTGAATGTCAAATTGCCAAATTGTAATGATGTTGATCACACAAACTAAAAACTTTCTTTGAAATCCAATGGCCCTACCGAGTTGTCATTGTGTTTGATATGGGACTCCCTTGGATGAGAACCTCACAGAATTATTGTAGAAAGGATGGAAATGTGTTGGTGAAAGCTGTCCACATGCTGCGTCTGTACATTTAAGAGTCAATCAAAATGCTCTTCCTGCTGTTTGGGACTCTGTCTGTTGACATTAAAATGTCCTCACAACTTATAAAAATCATTAAAGATTCCATTTGCACCTCCCTAGTGGGAAATTAAGAAATAAAACCATGCCAGCCAGTGTGCATTTCAAATATTTACAGTTCTATACTCTCTCTCCAGGCAGTACTCCTGCAGGATCCCTCTGAGAAATTAGTGCAGACACAGAGTGGTCTTCCCCCAGCCAGTGTTTTATTAAGGAAATCTCATCTTGTTCCATGTCCCCCAGAAGCACCATCTCGTCACCTCTGATGCTCCTGCTAGAGAACAAGCACAGGAACCAAAAAGAAGGGGAAGATGGCAGGAAGGCAAGAAAAAGGGTGCTGTGCTCAGTTTGTCCCTGTTCTCAAATGGCAGGAATCACCACGGTGCTGACCATGTCCACGATCGTCACCGGCGTGAGTGCCTCCATGCCCCAGGTGTCCTACATCAAGGCTGTGGACGTGTACTTGTGGGTCAGCTCGCTCTTTGTGTTCCTGTCAGTCATCGAGTATGCAGCCGTGAACTACCTCACCACAGTTGAGGAGCGGAAGCTATTCAAGAAGAAAGGGAAGGTACAGTCTTGCTTTGACTATCAGATCCCTTTGAAAGTGTGCAAAAGACTGCCCTCATTTATACCCTGTCCTGACAGCATTATAAGCCCTTGTGGAAAGGTAATTCAGAAAGTTCATGGAAAATAGAATTAAAAGGTAAACTTGATTTGCTGCAAAACATTTTGAAAGTCACCATAGTTTTTCATAGTATGCACTTTCCATGAACATTTTAAAGACTGGTTTTATTAAGTCCATGTGCCTTAGCAAGTTGCAAGTTTACAGCATGGTGACAATTTAACATTGAATTTTAATCTCTGCTCTTTGTGAGCTGGTTTCTTGGCATGCTCATTCACCTTTGCCAGGACTAAAGAATTTCTTCTACTAAGTTCCCTTCCCCTGACTGGACCTCTTGTGTAGCAGGAGTTGATGTACAAGGCACGTTCTTTCAAGTGGGTGATGATGATGATAGTTAACATGTAATGAGTGTTCATTATATATTGGCATTACACCACCACCTAAGAATATTATGTCATTTAATTCTCACAGTAAACCTGACAGATCAGTATTTTATCACCCTCGTTTCACAAAAGTGACATCAGTGCAGATGGGTCATAACTTGGCAAAAGTCAAACAGCAAAAGAGGTATCAGGGTTTGCTTCTGGATCTCCTTGACTCTGAAGGCTGTGCTGTCAACCAATAAATGATATGTTGCTCACCACTAAGAGCCAGGTTTTTTTTTCTTCTTATCACTTGGAAGAATGGCAGAACATACAGAGAGGAACTTCTTCCCACAATACCCTAGAAACAAGGTACCATCTGTGCTCACATGCTTTCTGTGACATTGCTTAATAAATGTGGATGGATTACTCTGTATCCGCTTCATTTTACAAAGGATTTGGGCACCAGTTTCTGGTTCTTACAAGAAATGACATAAGATATACTCCAGACACCTGACCAACAAGATTCAGTTGTTTGTTTGCCAGCCTAAAGAATATATGTATGTAATATACATGTAATTTTAATGAAATGTATTCACAGTGGTTTAAGAAATTCTTATGTGAACACTTATATACACCCAAATATTATTTAATATTTTTATACTTCTAGAAAAAGCGTTTCAGAGTGTGTTTATGTCATTTTCCCAAGCTAAACCTTCATATGAGTTCTCCAGTGTAGATTTTTCAGAGATTACTATCTCTAAAGACACAGAACCTCAGTGAAGTGATTTTCCTACAGATTCACAGCCAACACAGCTGCAATTGCAACTCAGAGCTCCTAGAATGCTAACTTCATTCTCTCATTTTCTATCCTTGGGGTCAAAGCTCCAACAAGAACTGATTTTGTCTTAACTGCACATGCTTCCATTTCTTTTGTTGACAGCATATGGCTATGAGTACATGTCCTATACACACCCACGGAGAGTGTGTGCAGGTTAGGAGAACTAGGGGCTTAAGCCCAGCACATCACCTAGGCTCCGGTTAGAATACAGTCTTAGAAGGTTTGTTGGGGGCAGAGGCAGGTGGTAGAGGGGTGGGAGACAGAACATGAGAGCTTGCATTTCTATCCAACTCCAGGTGATAATGTCAGTGCTGCTGGTTCATTACCCACCTGCAAACAGCAATGATTTCAATCATCATGGAGTGAAAGATGGCAGGGAAAAAAAACGTGTAAATAAGGAGAGAAATTTTTTCTGGTTTTGTTATGTTTTTACATAAGGTATAGCTAGCCTAGGATAGAGGCACTGAAGCAATATTGACCACCTTCACCTAGTCCTTGGACTCCAGTTCTGGAGTCCAATATCTGTGTCTGCTGCCCCTACCCGGCATACAATGCATGTGTTCATATTAGCTGATTTCTGTTTCACAATCTTCTTGTGGACCACTATGAGACATTCTTTTGAGTTGGTAAGCATGCTCTGTATAACATTCTTTTTGAATTTTTAGTTGTGGTGAAATACATATAATTTGGGGCCAATGCTGTGGTACAGTGGGTTAAACTACTGCCTGCAGTGTCGACATCCCATATAGGCACTGGTTCAAGTCCTGGCTGCTCAATTTCTGATCTAGCTCCTTGCTAATGTGCCTGGGAAAGCAAGAGAAGATGGCCCAAGTGCTTGGGTTCCTGCACCCATGTGAGAGACCTGCATGAAGCTCCAGGCTCCTGGCTTTGGCCAGGTCCCACCCCGGCTGTTGCAGCCATTTGGGGAGTGAATCAGTGGGTGGAAGATATTCTCTCTCTCTCTCTGTAACTCTGCCTTTCAAATAAAAGTTGTTTTTTGATCTGGAACATTCATCAAAACCAAGTTATATTAAAAATGAAACAAGAAAAAAAAATACCTCTGCTTATGGCCTGGAAAGGCAGTAGAAGGTGGCCCAAGTGCTTGGGCCCCTGCACCCACATGGGAGACCCAGAGGAAGCTCCTGGCTCCTAACTTTGGCCTGGCCTAGCCCCAGCCTTTGCACCCTTTTGGGAGTGAACCAAAGAATGGAAGATCTTTCAGTCTCTGTCTCTCCCTCTCTCTGTAACTCTGCCTTTTGAATAAAATAAATAAATCTTTAAAAAAACAGACATAGCTTAGAATTTACCATCTTAACCCTTTTTACATGTATAGCTCAGAGTGTTAAGCACATTTGCACTATTGTGTACCCAATCTCTAGAACTTTTTCTGCTTGAACAACTAACCCATTAAACAGCAATACTCCACTTCATCCTCACCTCAGCCTCATGGAAACCTTCATTCTAAGCATCCCCCTTTAAAGCAAAATTATCTCCAAGAAATGTTTTACTTGTCATTTATATATGTGAAGGACAAAATGAAGAAGTGATTTTAAAGTCAGAAGTGGTGCTGAACCAAACTTCAGCACTTTGTAGCTTTGTATTCCAACCAGGTCTTATAAACTTCATTATGTGTTTGTGTAACAATGTCGTTTCTGTCCTATTTTATCAAATGGTGTTGTTGTGAAGATCAAATGTTATAATGACTGGATCTGGAATCTTTACTTAGCAAATGTAGATTCTGCCTGTGAGCCACAGAGCTCACCCTCTGGAGCTACATGCATTCGCATAAGGCCAGTGGAAAGAGGTCTGAAATGAAAGGGTGTGATGCTCCAGTGAGCGGAGGGCAGAAGGAGGCCTCTGTGCTTGGGGCTAATAAGTAACACCCATCTCCTTTATGCCTAAGAAACAAGTTGTAGAGAACCAGAGAGACAGACACCACAATGTCTCCTTTCTTATTTTTTTTTAAAGTCTGGTACAGAGATTTATTTAGTGAACCAAAAAAGTTATATTTGATTAATTTAGCAGTTTAAATTTATGAACCATCTTTTATCAATAAGTCAATTAAAACATCTGTTAATAAATTTTCCCATACAATATGTATACACATATAACAACATACAAGATAGAACAATAAAGCAGTTTCAGTAATAGCTTCTTAAAATTTTTAACTGTTTTTTTTAATTACCACCAATCAATTAGAATTATTTCCTGCTCTTAGAAAACTGAATTAACCATACTTTTTCTCAGTTGGAACCTGAGATATTGGCTTTATCTGCTTACAGAACTGTCTCAAAGTACTGAATACAATAGCAGTCAGGGAAAAAAGAAGTCCTTTGGAGCCTAAAATAAGATGTAAACACAGAACCAACGATGTTTTAACTTTCATGAGCAGTAAATCTGATTTTTAGTGTTTGGAGAATACAAAACTCTGGATGACAAAAGACTTTAAGTAGCCGTGTTTAAGATTATAAATTCATTAACCGACAAGAAGAAGCACTTGCTTATTCCACACAATATTTTTGAAAGCACCTGTAAGATTTTCTAAAATATTTATCCCTTGTAGACCTCGGCCTTTCTCATTAAGATAACCATTATGTCTGATAACAACACAACAAGATCATTAGACTTTTGTAACTTTTGGACATTTGTTTCAGTAGCACCACTTCATATCTTGACAGTGCCTTTAATATAATCCAAATAGCTTTATTAGTTAGTGTCTCTACAGGAAGAGAGATATATCCTTTGATATTTCCAAGGAACCCAGCAGCATTTCAGCTGTCGAGGTCTGGTGTCCAGCCAAGAGGCTGCTGGAAGCACTGGAATGTAGCCCCAGCCAGAATCCGTCAGTTGTCTCAAGGCCTTCTCCCAGTCCCACATGAAGGGCTGATCCACGCAAGATGGAGAGGAGGTGATTCACAGCCCAGTGCCCACACAGTCTTGTCAGGGACTGGGGTCCAGGGAAGAGATTTTCAGAACACACTGGGGAGTGCCCTGGCCGAGTTCCCCGATCATCTCAAGGCCCTTTCCCAGTCCCTTACAAGAGAGAGGGGTTAGAATAGAGCCTCAGCACCAGGGGATTGCTCTAGCCTAATCAGCAAGCCTGGCCCCAGTGTCTTAAGGCCTGCAGCCACACTAGTTGCTTTTAACTGGTTGACAGGGACCCGGCGTTTTTGAGAAAATGAGAGAGTTACTATGGAAGAGAGCAAAACTCTGAAAAACAGAAGCAAGAGCGGTCCACATGCTTACCCATCCAGTAAGATGATCCGATGCTGGGTGGAAGTGAACTCGAGCAGGATCCTAGTCACATTGGAGTTGCTGAGTCATGGCACCAAAATGTTATGGGTGAAATGGCAGCAGAGAAAGGATTACCTTGATTCTTTGTCTCACATGGAAGAAGAATTTCCAGGCAGACAAGGCAGAGAGAAAAGCAAAATGTATTTAAAAGCAAAATTTGTTTAAATCAGAGACCTCCTGGTGGAGTGGCCAGGAAGGGGGCTCCAAGAGAGAGTGGAGTATGTTGCTTAGATACGTGAGCAGGAAGGCTCACTAATATAGCTCATCGCTGACTTCGAAGTGCTTCCTCTCTTGGTCATGGCAAATCTACACAATTCAGGGCTGTGCCTCTAGGATAGTCTCCATTTACCTCATTTCAGACAACAAACCCACACACCAATGCACTTCTGAGTGAGGACTCAGAAGAACCTGAGCCACACATGTTAGTAGCTCCTCCCAAACCCTAAGTTGGAGTGATTGAAGGATGGAGAGAAAATCCTGAAGTATTAGGCCCATGAGGCTCCTCCCTTTGAAAACATGAAGTCAGGAAAAGCTTCTTTCCTATCCTACTACTGTCACTCAGCATCATCTACCACCACCATCAACAACTTTCATCTCTGCTGCCGCCCACCGTCACTACCACCACCACACCTCTACCACATCTACAACCTCTACCATTACCACCATCAATGCCTCCACCTCCTACAACCACCAGTACCCACTACATCCACTTCTCACCACCACCCACTGTGTCTATAACCTCTTCCACTACCAACATCAACACCTCCACCTCTTACAACCACCACTTCCCACTACTTCCACTTCCCACCACCACCTGCCACTACACCTCCAACACATCTACAACCTCTACCACCATCAATGCCTCCACATCCTACAACCACTACTACCCACTGCCACCACCACTTCCACCTACCACCATCACCACCCACTATTTTCACCCACTACTACGGCCACCCACTACCACCACCACCCACTTTGATCACATACACAGATTCCCAACTACTACCCTATCTTGATACTGAAGTCTGGGAGAACAACAAGGGCCATGGAAAAATTATCCCTAGTGTTGACCATGGCCCAGAAAAGAGAAAGAGACTTCATTTCTTCTTTTATCCAAATGTTTTCCTGACTCCAGGGCCTAAAACAATCACATCTACAGTTTAGGTAGAATATGACTCCGCTATATGCTTCTTTGTGGGATGAAGTGAAAATTTAAAAACCAATTCTAAAACTGTTCCCCCCCCCCGAAAAAAAAAAAAATAAAACTTGGAGCAAATAGCAGCCTATTGATACACTGCACACTGTGAGATTTCATCATATGGATAGATAGTTCTAGATTATCCTAATGGAAGAAAATGCACCCTTGTTCTTCAAAGAAGATGGTTTTCTTCAACACACTAAAGGAATTAAAAAAAGTAAATGGCTCCCTCATTGTTCTATATAGCTAAGAAAACCTGCAGACTGTGAAGTTTTTCTATCTCCATTTCCACAGTTCAATCAAGTACTAATATCATTAGCTATTCGAGGTTTCCAGTCTTGATATCATTGTTTACTTTGTTCATTTTCATTTTATTATAGATAATTTCTACAATTAAAAAAAGTGATAACACATCTTAAATGTGGATTCCTGGTTACTTCATGTCTCTTGAATTCAGTAAAATATTAGCACACTCTGACAGAATTTACCCTATGGCCTGCATTTTGAATTCTGTATAATTTCATCTAGTAGTAGCCTCTCCGTATTTGTTCATCTTTTACTTTCCCTGTAGTTCAAGAAGTGATTTTGTTTTCTAAAAAGCAATTAGTAGGTAGCAGCTGCTTCCGAGACACCAGTGTATACTAGTGAGAACTGCTTTCTCCCTTAGCAGAAAATCTTCAAGAAAACTTTTAGTTTAGATTCAGGCAGGCACAGGAGCCAGAGAGCATTGATAATTTACTCCTTCAGAAAAATAAGCCTATTTCATGTTGTTTAATTGGGCTATGTTAGCATCATTTGTAGGTGCTTTTACACATAAATAGAAAAACTGGGCCAATTTGCATTTAAAAAGAGCAGCTAAAATTATTCCCTCATCCCTCCTCAATTTAAGCATAAGTGGATCACCAGATGATATTGTTCTGTTTTTGGACAAAATCACACTGACTAGGCATACTTCTGTATTCTTCATGTGGAGAAAAAAATAAGCTGAAAAACAAATCCAGTTGGCTTATATTGATGTTCTAATAAATCATATTCAATTTCCACTCACAAACTATGGCAAACCATTCATACTATTCAGAAACCAAGAGAAAATATGTATCTTGTGTAACAGTCTATTGGGCCAGAATGGAATTAGAAAACATTGAGACTGTAATTGTGTAACATTCACTTGCATGATGTTCAAATATCTTACGGAGATAAAAACAAAAAAATTTAATATAAACTCCTTACTAAATTCCTGTTTAAAACAGGGTCTGTAAAAGCTTGTTTCACATTTATTATTCTAATAACTTTTAGTCAGACAGCAAACCCAAAACTAGAATACTATTTAAAACAAACAAAACATTTTTAGTAACTATTTAAATTATGTATTTAAAAGATGATTTACATTTTTGCTATAATTTCTATTCATAAAACTGTATTCATGACCTACTTAAAAAAGTATTTTTGACAGATTTCTGGAATGTACAACATTGATGCAGTTCAAGCAATGGCCTTTGATGGTTGCTACCATGACAGCGAGACTGACATGGACCAGACTTCCTTTTCTCTACACTCAGAAGAGGACTCCATGAGGGGAAGATGCACAGGCAGCCCCAGCACAGATTCATCTCGCATAAAGAGAAGGAAATCCCTGGGAGGACATGTTGGTCAAATCATTCTGGAAAACAATCACGTTATTGACACCTATTGTAGGATTTTATTTCCTATTGTGTATATTCTATTTAATTTGTTTTACTGGGGTATCTATATGTAAAGAGGAATTTTCAATGCATAAAACTTGTATTGGAGTTGGATTATGTTTAAAATGAAAACCTCTTAAATGCAGGTTGGACTATACTAGATTGAACTGGAAGAGAACCAGTCAGGTCTCCTGACCTAAGGAAGGTTTGAAAGCTGAGTGATTTTAGGAGGTTAAGATTTTCAGAGAGACTTTGACTCCATAAATAAGAGTCATAGGCATGTGTATTATGGCAAAAAAATTTTTTCCATAGGGAAGGGTTTTTTTAAACTACTTCATCTGAATCCTTCTCTCTTAATAAAAATATTCTTTAACTGGACTAAAGCTAGACTTTGCAATAATGCAAGGATATTTTATTTCCTAGTGTCAGCAAAGTGCCAGATTATATTACACCACTGACTTCTTAGGAAAGAACTCTCCATCAAGAGAGAGTCTTTCACACTCACAGAGGCAAGAGTCCTAGGAAGAACTTCCCCCGTTTCCAATGATGTCTTTGATCTTATTCAATTAAGTTTCAAGTATTATTGGGTTCAAGGGGGAAAATGATCTAATCTTCACTCAGTCTTCATTCTTAAAGTTAAATTAATATTTTAGTTATCTTGTACTTTGTAGATATGATATAGCTTTCATAGCTTTTTGGAGGTATTTAATTAATTACTTTATTTAACAAATGTTTTTGACCACCTACCCTACTTAGGTACTTATAAGGTGTTATGTACTGAAGTGCGAATATGAAATAACACTCCTGTGTTGCTGACTGCACAGCTTAGCAAAAATGGTGCACTGGTAGCTATAATGAACACACTGATGTTAAAACAGTGGTGTGTGCACTGTGCCATGGCTGATCTGAAAGAGGGAGGAGAATATCTATGAAGGCAAGTGGACTCTCAATTTATAAATACTTTGGAGAGATTTCCAGCTACCTGGGTGAAAAAAAATGAATTAAATTTATATATCCCAAAGTAATCTGTATTGGCTGAACCAATAAATTAGGTCAAGTGGGTATTAAATAAATGTATGTTAGGCAAGAAAACCTTCCAATGATCAGCATTCCTTTTGCAGGTCAGCAGTGTGCATGCTTTTGTGTGGAGTATTTTGTGAAAAAGATTGTATTTTGAGAAAAACCCTTGTCAGGAAGCATGAAATAGTCCCCTTCCTGTTTTAATTGCTGGGATTGAATTAAAAGGAATAAAGTAAATGATGTATTATTTTTGATATATTTCTTTTTATTTCACTATAAACCTCAACAATTTGAATTATTTTATACCAGATGAAGAGACAAATAATTTCCTTCTTGTTTACCAATACCGTCGGTTTTGCTTTTCTGTTGTCAGCCAAAAGGTTCTAAAAAATCACCTTTCTCTTTGGTTCAAAAGATTAAAAGGAAAATTATTTCTCTATTTTGACTTTCGTTATGAGCATACTAATTCTGGAATATTTTGTTCTATTTCCTTAATAAAACTTCTCCAGTTTTTTTTTTAAAAATTTGCAATTAGTATGTTTTTCCAGGATAGTGTCCAAAACTGATCTAATATAATTTATTTGAATGCTTCTTCATTTAATTGTAGTTAGGTAGTAAATACATTTTAGGAACTATTTATTTAATGGTTTTTAAGCTTGATTGAATAGGGAAAGTATTTTGCTAGGATTATATTTTCAAAATACAGCATAGATTAATACCCTACATGGTTGAGAATTTGTAGTTATTATTTAGTAGAGTACTATGGTTGGATTACATTTTTGATGTTGAAAAACTCTATATAAAATTGATGTGTGAATAAAATTTAAAAAAAAAGCTACCTACAAATGAACAGAGTGAATTTACCCTGTTCATTTCTGATTCTCTGCTTCTACAGACAAAGCGGTTTTTCATATACTTTGAACTACAAGATTGAAGATGTGAATGCTTTCCCTGGGCATATTCATTTAGTGTTTTAAATGAAATACATCACGGCATACATCTGGTAACTGAGGTTAGAAGAATGGGTCTCTTCCACAACACCACACACACACACACACACACACACACCCCTCATGAGGAGCATTCATGCACAACTGTTGGCCCATCAAATGTGATTTTTGCTAATGTTGAGAAACACAGGCATTGCACTCATCAGTAATAAACGTCTAACCCTGAGAAGTAAAATCTGTTTACTGCCTCAGGGGAATTAGGAGAGCATTCAGAATGAGCTCCTAGGATTTTAGCCAGTTTTCTTCTCAAATCCATGGCTTGTGAAGACAGAGCTGTTCCTGTTATCTTCATTTCTACAAGCATGCCATAAGATTTCTGCTTCAGTTCTAATTTCAAGGAGAGTGAAACCACAGTACCTGGACAATATCTGAATGGCAAACAGCATACAATAGCCAACTCATTTTGATTTTCACTTCATTTCCTCATGACAATCCTGAACAGACTGTACATGATTGTTCACTGATGGATAAGCCTGGATAAAAGGCAAGGATTTCACAAAATAAGCTGCTTTCTAAGATTAAAAAAAAAAAGCCAACCAACTCTGTAAACTGTGTAAATACAGAAATGTGCTATTTTATAGAGGCTACTCTGAAAAATCTATGAAAAGCTATGTTTCAACTTAGATTTATTGCTTTTATTCTGAATAGAAAATAAATAGCATTATTAATAAAAATTATAAATACCATTGATGGAATGGGTGTTATGGCACGGCAGGCCTACAACACCAGTGTCACATATTGGAGCACTGGTTTGAGTCCTGGTTGTCCACTTGCCATCCAACTCCCTACTAATACATCTGTGAAGGCAGCAGAAGATGGCCCAAGTACTTGAATCCCTGCCACCCACATGGAAGACCTGGATGAATTTCCAGGCTCCTGGCTTTGGACTGGCCCAGACCCAGCCATTGCAACCATTTGGGGAGTGAACCAGCAGATGAAAGATCTCTCTCTCTCTCTCTCTCCCCATTCAAATAAATAAATCTTTTATAAAAAATTAAAAATCCCATTAAACAGTTAACATTTTAGTATATTCTTAAAGGCCTTCTATGTGTAACATGTTTTATTCTAATGAGACTAGTCTGTGTACACTTAATTTATTAATTTAAGCATTTATGTTGTTCCAAACACCATGCTGTGAACTGGGGATATAGTAGTGAACCATGAATATGTTTCCTGCTCCTACTGAATTACACTCTATTGGGAAAGTGATCTAAATTATGCCATGTGTTGCTTGATATTTTTCTCTGAATTATAAACAACTATTTTTATTTTAAGATGTACTTATTTATTTGAAAGGCTGAGTTACAGAGAGAGAGGAAGATCTTCCATCTGCTGGTTCACTCCCCCAAATGGCTGCCACACCTAACACTGCACCAGACAGAAGCCAGGAGCCTTGAACTCCATCTGGATCTCACACATGGGTGCAGGGGTCCAAGCACTTGAGCCATTATCCACTGCTTTCCCAGGCACATGAGCAGGGAGCTGGATCAGAAGTGGGGCAGCCAGGGTCAAACCAGTGCTCATATGGGATACCAATGTTGCAGGTGATGGCTCTACCCATTGCACTACAATGCCAGCCTCCATTAATAATTCTTTTTACCCTTTTTCCTGAAAACTAAGTTTTATATGATGTGAGTAGACTACTGAATGGGAACATCATCATTTACTTAATCCAGCTCCATCTGTGAGACATTAACATTCTTTCATGTGTGTGGTACTACACTGAGTGGCAATTAGTGATATAAAAATACTTAGAAGTTAAAGTATTTTAGAGAAGCCGGTGCTGTGGCACAGCAGTTTAATGCCCTGGCCTGAAGCGCCGGCATCCCATATGGGCGCTGGTTTGAGACCTGGCTACTCCATTTCCTGTCCAGCACTCTGCTATAGCCTGGGAAAGCAGTGGAGGATGGCCCAAGTCCTTGGGCCCTGTACCTGTGTGGAAGACCCAGACGAAGCTGCTGGCTCCTGGCTTTGGATCAGCACAGCTCTGGCCGTTGTGGCCATCTAGGGAGTGAACCATCAGATGGAAGACCTCTCTCTCTGCCTCTCCTCTCTCTCTCTGTAACTCTGACTTTCAAATAAATAAATCTTTAAAAAAAAAATTAAGTATTTTAGAAACAATTGATACTTCCAGACATACTTATACTTTTTGCCACTGGAACCTGCTATGTCAGTCAATTGCCTGTCTGCCCAGGAGCATATAGAGTATCGAATACTGTAACCAAAGAAACCTTTTGTTCTTAGATCTTTCTCCAGTCCCCAAACAAAGTAGAGCATTCATTATATAATTACTTGTGGGGAAATTAGTTACATGAGGGAATTCAAAGATGGCGCCCAGAGGAAATAAGGTGGGCAGAATCCAAAGTTGTTTACCACCAAAGCTAATTGGCTGCGCAACATCAAGGGAAGTGACGACAACTGATAGCAAGTGTATAGACATATGGCTAGTCCTATAGAAATCGCTCCATAAAATGATCTTTTAAGTGATTGGTTGGTCCTTATGCCCTGCCCCAATGACTCTGCAGTTTTGTGCTTTAAAAGGCTCTGTTATGCAGGAAATAAATGAGTCCCTGCTTGACTTGGCTCCCCGCTGCGTCTGATTGTCTCCGGGATCGGGAGACTGGGGACTGGGCCAGCAGCGCACTTACCTTTCCTCATCCATCCTGTATGGGTGGACTAAGACCCTGCAATTACTGAACTGCATCTTTGTAGTGCACGTTTCATCACTGTACAAAGCACTTAAATTAAAGCAGAACTATTCACTGAAACCCTGCTTTCCCTTCATTGACTGCTGTTTCCACTATCAGCCTTTGCCATCTTTGTAAGTAGGGGAATAACTAGGATTACACATAGCTGCATATGAGTTGCCACAAAATCACAATTTGTGACCTTGCAAGTGGGTTAGCATTCATGAATAATATTTATTGTTCTTTATTATGTCATCATCTATTTAAATCACAGGTGCACACCCTATATATACATATTTTCTGATTAAAAGTTATTTTTTTACTAGAGGGAGCATGCTCCCATCTGTTGGTTCACTCCCCAAATGCCCAGGAGTTGGTAACTCAATCCAGGTTTCCCATATGAGTGACAGGTACCAATTACCTGCTCTCTCCTAGGGTATGCATTAGCAGGAAGCTGGAATCAGGAACATAGCTAAGACGAACCCAGTCATTCTGATATGGGGTGCAAGTGTCTCAAGCAGCATTTTTTTTTTGAAAAAAAAAATGTTTCTTTAATGTTTTGTTTGAGAGGGACAAAAATCTTCCATCTGCTGGTTCACATCCTAAATGCCTGAAACAGGCAGGGCTGAATCAGGCCAAAATCAAGCTCCTGAAACTCCATCCAGGTCTCTCACATGGGTGGCAGGAGCCTAAGCACTAGAACCATCACCTGCTGCCTTCCAGAACACTTTAGTAGGAAGCTGGCTCCAGACTGGGGGGTCCGGGACGTGAACAAGGTGCACCAATATAGAGAAGCAAGCAGAAGCTTTAACCCCCTGTGACACAATGCCCACCCCTCTCTATATATAATTTTCAGCATGAAGATTAATGAGGGAAGGAAATAAACTGAATTCTATAATCATTACTAAAGTCAAAATCCCAGTTAGCTCAAATAATACCCTCAAAGAAGCCAGAGAAAGCAGGAAGGAAATTGCTATCTCAACTACAATTCTGTCCCTGGAGCTGCTGTTATTTCCTGGCAGGGCCTAAGCAGAGCAGTCAAGGCTACACTCCCAACTACATTGTTTATGGAATGGAGCCACCTACTTTTTCTCTATAAACACTGCTTTAAAACACTCCATCGTGCTATAAAGTTCTGCTAAATTTCAAAGTCATATCACTTTCCAACAGCAATTTGACTCTAGCTTTTAACCAAGAACTCAAACATTTTTTCTTTTCTCTTAAAAAAAAAGTGTGAAAGATAAAATACTGGATATCTAAGGAGATTACTTTATTCAGGCTATTGCAATAGGAAGCACATTCATTATCGAAGAAATGTCTCAAAGAAAAGGAAGGGGCTAAGAATTTCAAAGAGGCAGGAAAATAAGAGTTGTATTCACTGAGGAATAGTAGAGGTGCATCTTATCTTGGAATATTTGAGGGCTGAGAAGTCATTTCTCAGAATATAAAATTGTGGAAGGATTTCTTGATCTTCACTACTTTCTAAGAACACAGGGACTCAAAGTTCAACATTTTGAGAACATTGTCAATTGTTCTTCCATTTCAACCCAGTGCTGAATCATGATACTTTTTGGTCAAAAATGGGGCTAAAACTAGGAGATTTCACAATGTTAGAGAAAAAACTCTGTGCTTTTCAAAATATTGACACCTAACGTATTATAGGAAACACTGAGTGGTGTCTCATTATCAGGTCATTTGAAGGTTATGATAGAACTTTTAATCCTAAGGACAATGCAATTCACTACAG